GAATGATAGGAAAACTTTCTATGTGGAAATAAAGGCTGTAATAACAATGATGACCAACAGTTTCCTCCTTTTCACAGGAAGACCTCCTTCTACCAACAGTCACAACATGTCCTGATATACTTAAAGAGACTCTTAGATCTCTCTCTCTCTCTCTCTCTCTCTCTCTCTCTCTCTCTCTCTCTCTCTCTCTCTCTCTCTCTCTCTCTCTCTCTCTCTCTCTCTCTCTCTCTCTCTCTCTCTCTCTCTCTCTCTCTCTCATAATAGATTGTTTAAGAAAAACAGGAGAAATAATGTTGGACTTAAAATTAGAATGAAATTCTAAAACAGCCCAAAACCCATTGACACAGGTATATATTAATCCCAGGTTAGTCACATCATGAGAAGAAATAGAAGGCAGGGTTTGAGGGCCATCCTGTACAACCAAGAACCAAGTTTATTTATTTTTATTACCTCTTCAGCAAATTAGGTCAAATCATAAAATGCTGTATGTTTAGTATGTATAATGTGCGTTTCGATTACAACTGGTGAAGCGTTGAGGTTTTAAGACTGTGGGGGGGTTTCCCCACCACTGCACCCCTGCGGAGGGTTTCTGGAGCTCCGACACGGACAGAGCAAACCGTGAGCCTTATTCCTCAGGAAGGTGTTCTGGGCTGGATTGTTTTAAAAAACTTACATACAATTCAAGCGTCTTTGAGTTTTTAGGAAAGCGCTATATAAAAAGAATGTATTATTATTACAATCATTCGGATTGGAGATTTAGAAAGCCACAGTTGAATTGGTTAAAAACCTTTTAGGGGAAGTTCTACACATATGATGATTGCGACTTTGTCCCACTTGCCTGTTCTCCATGCAGAGGGCGTCGACGTCAATGATGCGTGCCTCACGGTTGCCCAAGATGTGGTTGAGCTCCACGTTGAGTCTGTACGCCTTCTCCCTGAAAACGTTCCGCTCTGCTTTAACGTCCTGCAGCTCATCGGTCAGAGCCTTCATGTTGTGCTCCATCTCCTCCATCTAGAAAAAGAAAGCCAGGCTAAATGTTTGTGAGGTTTAAACCACAGAGATATTTTAATGTAGAAACTGGTTAAGTTGAACTAGGGCTGTAGTCATTAACTAGTTTATCACGATTAATTAAAGGTCACATAATATGCAAAGTAGACTTTACCATGTTTTTTTTAACACTAATATGTGTCCCTGGTGTGTGATGTTCCTTCAGACTCAAAAGGAGAATATGCTGGTTTATTCCTTTAGGCTCACCATGGACAAGCCTCCACAATGCCTCCCTGTAGTCACAGTGATAGAAAAGAACGACACTGCTGCATCTTTGAATGTCTCAATTAACGTAATATCCACCTTATGACATCAAACATTTACCCTATCACCGCTCTTTCAAACTGTTAATTAGTTTTTGATCCATAAATTTGAAACAAATATATTTTATATAAAGGCATGTTGTACTAAGAGCTTATGATCAGGATGTGCAAAAGTGTGTTTTGCAGATGAATTTTGGGGATGAAAAGTAAAAGTATCGACCTGTAGCCCTGCTCTCTCCAGCTGGCGGACAAGATCCTCACGCTCATGAGCGGGAAAATGGCGTGCGCCCACTTCCTCGTCCCCGAGCCTCTGTCGAGTAATGGTCATCCTCAGGAGCTGTCGAAATCAAACACATTTTAAATCCACTGCTTTTCTCAAACACATTGACTCAAGCACTTGATTAGGTCACTTTAAACTACCCGCATGCGTGTGTTTGTGTGTGTGCCGCAATAAATTTCCTCACCTTGTTATCCCCCTGGGCCTCTCCCAGCCTCTGATTCAGCTCCTTCACCTCCTCAGCGAGCTTTTTCGCCCGATCCCTCGAGTCTCTCAACAGCTGAGCTAGGTTCACCTGAGTAGAAGGAGAAGGTGGAGAAGACGAGTGAACGAGACGAAGCAAAAAGGAACACAGACGATAAAACAGCTGATTGGAGGCGGATCGAGCCATCCTACACAAGCCACAATGGCAGGAATCAACAGCAGCTTACTTGATTGCGTTTTTCTGGAGGCAAAGACGTGTCCCCATCCTGAAAAAAAAAAAAAATAGAAAGAGTTATATAATTATTTTGAAGGTTTTATGACCAAGCACAAAATAGCAAATATGCATTGTGCACAGTGATATAAATGTACACATAAAAGCATCAAATAAAGATCACGTGGAAGGCGTGAAACACTCACTATAAGTTCCCTGTACTTCTTCTTGAGTCCTTGGTGGCGCTCCCTCAGCTGGTTAGCCATCAGCTTGTACTGGTCTCTTTCTTGTTGACAGGTGTCCAACTCCTTGGACAGAATGAGGAGGGCCTCTTTCTTGCTCTCCAGCTTGCGCTTACACACCAGAAACTACACAAAACATCGCATACAGGGACAGAACAGAGGGCAGTGGCATTATTACATATGCAACATGGAAACAGTTTATTACAGATCATCACACTCTTTGTGTTGTGTATGGACCAGGGTACATCTGTAGATATATCAGAACAACTCCAGTATGTAGTTGCTTGTTTTGGGCTTTGTTATTTCCTCCATGGCCCTGATCCTGTCATATAAATAGGGATGCAACAGACGACTAGTTATATATATATGTACTCATCTGAAGTTTTACGATATAAATTATTATTCTCTTTAAATTGTAGTAAAAGGTTATTAAGTGAAAAGTGCTCTCATCAAATTACTTAATTTTTTTGATACAAAATTACAAAATACAGCAGATCCTTGAATCACATGGCTGAAAGCAGCAAATGTTGGACCTTTTTTTAATGAAGAAACACCAAAACAATTCATTTTTCCTTTTTATATTAGGCAAATAGTTTTTGATAGATTTTTGCAGGTCTAGGCTGAAATGTTGAAATAGCTCAGCTGTACAAATTTCACCAACCTGTTCCTGACAGGTGGAAAAAACACACAGCAGCCAAGTGTTTAGAGTGATGATAAGCCACACGTTAGAAGAAGCAGAGTGAACCTTGATAGCAGACAGACCAGCTCATAACCACGTTAAAAGACAGCTACTATAGTGTTCAGCAAAGCTTTTATATGGTTTCAAGCTCATGCTTCCTACACCTACTGCTAATAGTTAGGCATAAAAAAATAATAATAATATATATAAAAAAAAATAATAATAATAATAATAATGATAATAATAATAATAATAATAATAATAATAATAATAAAATAGTTAGGCCTAAAAAAAATAAATAATAATAATAATAATAATAATAATAATGATAATAATAATAAAAAACCAATAGTTCGGCCTAAAAAAAATAAATAAATAATAATAAAACCAATAGTTAGGCCTAAAAAAATAAATAAATAAATAATAATAATAATAATAATAATAAAAAAAATAGTTAGGCCTGATGTAGATTTTTTTTAAATCCTTTGATAGGTAAACTACCTATTAAGACCCCATTGTTATCCTTTTGAAATGTAATCGCTGTGTGGTGTTTCAATTGGTCTTTAAGTCGGCTATTCGAAAGCTGTTTAGGGAATACATGAACGGCGACGAGTGTCATTTAGTAGGCTAAATATTATTACACTAAGACTATCTGACATAGTCTTAAATTACACCTTCCAAAATTCAAACTTCACAATAAACTCCCTCGGGAGGTTTAATTGAAATGTCTTCCAGTAGTCATAGTTTATACCAGGTAGCCCCACAGGTGTGTTTTCATTTGTTCTTTAAAGCACCTTGCGTGTTTAAAGGTGACAAGAGGAGGAGGAGAGTCGACACATTTCACAAACCCAAGAGGCTCGGATGCTGTCGGCCTGCAGGCAAGCTTCACCCGTCAATGAATCCTTATCTTGTCTCACGTATAATTAAGAAGAAAAGTGAGGTTTTATATGATAGCTAGGTGATATCAAATAGCTACTTGGTCTATTTATTCTAGTACTGACGCTTTTTTTCCCCCATATGGACAACGGAGTCGGTGAGAAAATGTGTCCGTCTCTGCAACAGCTGTTCCCGGTGTTCGTCGCCTTTCACTTACCTCGCTAACGAGCCCCTGCCAGTCGCCCTCACTCCTCTTGGAAGACTGCATTATCCTAAATAAAAGAGAAATGTGAGGGAACAGGACCCCCCCCCCTCTCTCTGCCTCCGTCCGAGCTGCTTCTTTTCCGTTTGTTTATCCTGCAGCGTCACTTTATTGGCTCTGCCGTCAAGTCACACACAATGAGTACCGAAAAAGGAAAAATAGACTACTTCCGCTAGAATATCCTTTAAGAATATAATTATTATTCAATTTTTAAAGCATTTACACATGAAACTATAATTTGTGTTACACTGCCGTAATTTTTCTTACACACCAATGGAAAATAATGAGCAATGACGAAAGTGGAATCTCCTTCAAAATAAAAGCATGTTGGGGAAAATGTCACATCATTTAATATGCTTTTTTTTTTAAATATTCTGTTTTCCCGTGATAAAGAGTAAATGTATGTTTCCTGAAAAATAGCTTTTTTATTTTGTAAGCTCTGGATAACAACACTGGTTTTCCTGTAATTTCTAGAGTTCTCAAAAAAGAGCTGAAATGTTGTTTTCATAGGAAAACCAGTGTTGTTGCTCTGAGATAACCGGAAGCAACAATTACAATTATTATACAATTAATGGGGGGCTTTTTGCTTTTAGATAGGACAGTGTAGTAGAGTAGGAAGTTGGGATCAGAGAGTAGGAAAATACATGCGGGGAAGGAGCCACAGGTTGGAATCAAACCCGAACCCCAAATAAGTTTTCCCGCTTTTGTTGCCATAGTTCAAAAGGAAAGACTAATAATTCCAAGTCTACATTTAGTGAGGTTGAAGTGGGTTGGTGTCTTAATGGAGTACATTGTAATTTTTAGGTGTTTCCAATATTCTACTAACCCTCTCATCTATGTACATGAGCTTTTGAAAAAATAATTATAGGCCTATATCATAATAAATAAATTAAGAAATCAACTTTATATGACATGATGCATTCAAAAATCCAGCAACTCTTGTAGTATATCAATCAAACTTTATTTGTAGAGCACATTTCATAAAATCATGTATGGTAGAAAGACCAACTTTACTGTTGGAAAATCAAGTTCTTGCCCATGGCTTTTATCAGGATTGTTATCCAACATGTCACAAATATCAATTACAGAAGATGTGTATGAAGCAAAAAAGTATAAAAGTATTCAAAATGTTTCTATAAAAGAGTCGTATACAAACACATATCAGCCAACGGAGCCCCCTCACATATTTAGGCTGAGTGATTAGTCATGTGGCTTCAAGCATTTCACTTTTCCAAAGTGACTGTACAAAAAGAGATGTGATCAAGCCTGCACAGAAAAAGTCTTAACCCTAAATAGGGGCCCTTTATTTCTTTGAAAGATGCATTGAGTTTTTAGTTTTGTAAAATAGAAACAAAATAACACATACAGTGATTTACAGTATTTTCCAAAAAAATGCAAATGTCTTTGAATGTAAAATTTAAAAAAAAGTCAGAAGACTGAGACAAAATACAAAAATAAGAGAGAAAAACTAATTCGTTAAGAAGTCCCTTTTCCAGCCCGTGGTAAACTTATCAGGCCTAAATTCCAACATTTCTTTTGTGTTATTTGATCATCTTTGGCTGGACTTACAGCATAATGCATTTATTCTTAATACATAGTCGAGACGTGATTTGATTTCTTGTAAAGTCTTGTGTATGGTGACATCATACCTGTCCAGTTGTCATATTAGAGGACAGGACACACTCCACTGAAAATAATTGGTCTATGCTGTTACAAGAGAAGCTTGGGGAAATATTTACCATGGCCTCTTTTCATAGACTAATTAAAATGACAACTTTTTACAATGACATTGCTGGTGTGTTTCCATGTGAAAAATATACACTTCTTATTACTTATTAGATAAGAGCCAATCATCTGACATCCAGAGGTTTGCAAAAAAATAGATCAACAAAACATACAGATAAAAAAAACATCTAGATAAACATGTCTATCAGCAAATGCAGGCCCTCACTTTGGGCTGGGTGGTTTGTCAAGTGGCTTTAAGTCAAAGACCTTCACCCAAAAGGAGGCCCATTTATAAGGAACACTTATAAGAAAAAACAAAAACATATCGTGTGGGATTTGCTGTTATGATTTAAAACCTTCCAGCAACAGGTTTTATTGCTAAAGGCAGCAGTTCTTTTCAAAACCACTTGGTGACCACTTATCAAGCAAGACCTTGATAAATTGGAATCACGAGGAAGATGAGCCTAGTGCCACTTTTTAAGCTGGCTTTGTGGATACTTGTTGAGTTTCTTGAATTGGGCAACTGACATGTTCATCAGGATTTGTGGGTGGCGCTGCAGATCTGCTGGTGATGTTGTCTCTGCGAAACTCTTCTGTTCTAAACAATCTTTTAAGGGAAGGTTTTATGTTCCACCCTTGGCTTTTTGCAGATATATAAACACCTCCAAACAGATCAGGAAACATCGACAGCAGATCAAGTTTGGCGACATCCTCTTCACTGAAAATAGAGACATTACACTGTATTATAAAGAATGACTATGATAGTTCTAAACTACAATGTGGAAATATTTCCCGACCTTTTGGTAAATGAGAAAATGTTTATTTTCAATATGATAACTGGTTGTGGCAATTTCAACCAAAGACTGTTTTCCCCATGTTTGTTTGAAGAATTTAAAAGAACTGAAAAGCCAGCTTTGAATTCAATATTTTTGGGAGCAAAATGTATCTTATTTTTGGTACTTTTGAGTGAGGTTGTCACAGTTTCAAGAAATTGAAACACTCAAAAATCTGATTTCTAATTTTTGTTGTCAATAAACAGTTTTGCGTTTAGCGATGACAAACAACAACATGATTACTGTTGCCATGCTGAAAGGTGTGAAGTAAGTCAATGTAGACATTTAGAAAGAGGGGATAACACAATACCAAGGAATCAATATGAAAACACAATAAGTAGATAATTTTCTGTTTACTAGAACTTACTAGTGCTCATGGAGGTTCCGAATGAAGCGCAGCAGTCCCAGAATATCTTCAGAGTAGGATTTCTTCTTACCCTCCACTCTCTGGACCAGCTCTTCTGGAAACTAAAACACAAAACACCAGTTATAATTGAACTAATGAAAATATTTAAACTTAGAAGGTAAAACAAGTGAAGTTCCAAATGAAATTTATTTCAGTTACCCGATGTTTCCACTGTTTGTAGGATCCCTCTCCAGCATGTTCTTCCAGTGAAGAAATTAATTCTGGATCAGCATTTTTGTAGTTTGCCACTTCCTTGATGTTTCCAACCATTTTCAAATAGTCTACTCTCCTAAAAGAATAACATCGAGAATAAATGGTGCATGATGACAAATGTAAAAAAGAAAAACCTGTTCTCATCCAATAGCCTACTAATGCATTATCAATGTGGCCAGTGTCAAAAAAATGCACAAAGCACTACATTTAATGCAGAGACCCGCAACATTTGTGTGTGCGCCAGCCCATCTGCACCACGTACTCAGGAGCTGATCACACCTTCTCTAGCCAATGCTTGTGTTTCCACCACACACACCATGGTCCGTCTGGCTCATCCCAGAAGCCCCACTCTGCTCTACTCTACTCTATGTAAACTAATTTGATACAAGGGGAAACTGATTTGGTTGATGGAGTAGTACGTTTGTTGAAGGCCTGAACAATGACTTTGGGTAAATGTACATCTTCCTATACACTACAAAATTTGCATACCCAAACTCAAAGCTTATAGGATGGTAATGTCAGTCTATCCAATGGCTGGCCTGCATATTTGGTTAGGCCAAAAATATGTCTACAGTTTTCTATCCAATAGCCATGACTCATCTTTCACATTTTAAAGAGTCAGTTCAGGTGGTTTAGGCATCTGATTAGTGAGCAAGAAAATGTTGCTGGGGAGAGAGACATTTAACTTGCTAAGCCTGCAGCAGCTGCCTTTGATATTCAGGAGAAAAGCACTTTCAATACATCTTAGATGGGACTGAAAGTACTGTCATCAAAGTAGATCCCAATATTTGTACCGTTCTAACCAGTAAATAGAGAGGTCTTTAACACTTGACCAAATTTTTAGACCGACCAAAGAAGTGGAATTGTCTTTCAGCAGAAATGAATAATTGCTTGACAGGGATTCAAATAAATAAATCTATCAATTAATCAGCATTTCTTTCTTACTTGTCTGGGTCCCAAAAGAAAGGATGACTCAAGCATTCTTCAACTTTAGGTCTCCTCCTTGGCTCTTCGTTGATCATCCACTCAATGAGATCCTTTGCCACCACATCTTGAACATGGTCCAACGTGTACTTCCCCTCATCAATGTTGTTCTCACACTTACAGGCTTTGTCGCCAAAAGGATGGTGTCCCCCAGAGAGGATATAATATATCAGCATCCCTGCCACCTTAAGAATAAACAGACTCATTTAAGAAAGCCATTTTTCAAGAAGTCATCAATAACGTTTGAGTGACAAAACTTGCCTGGACATCAGTGTTGGACTTGTATGGTATGTCAGTGTCTTCTTCTAATGTCTCCTTGGCTTTCCAGCACTTCGTTCCAGCAGCACCTGTACGGTAAGTTGTTTGGCCTTTGGGTAACCGTCTACAGATGCCAAAATCAGCTAATCTTACCCTCCCATTTACGTCTGTAGAAAAAGAAAGTGGAAGACCGTTTTCTTTGATAATTTTTTTTTTTTTTTTAATTATTGTCTTTTAAAAAATTTCAGTCAGTAGCTCAAAATATCTTTAATTTGTCTTACCAAGAAATACATTCTGCGGTTTGATATCCCGGTGGAGAATTGGAGGATTTTGACAATGAAGCACCAATAAACTTTCGAGGAACTGAGAGATATGTTTCTTCATCTCCAGACCACCCTCTTTATTGTCATTGATGTATTCTTCCAGGGTGTATTCACAAAGTTGAAGACCAAGATATCCAAAGAACTCATCCACTGCAAAGTCAATGTATCGTACGATAGATGGATGATCAAGCTCTGGAAGTCGTAGAAATCCTTCCTCATTCTTCAGCACCTCATAGTTGCATTTAGATATTCTTTTGATAGCAACTTCAGTGCCATCATCTCTGAACCCCAAGAAGACTTCTGTACCATCACTTCCCTTCGCTATGCGAAATTCTTCTTTATTCACATATATCATGCTACCAATTCTGATTACTTTACTTCCATCAGAGCTCAAGAGCTTCTCTAATTTTTCTTTCCATTTCTCGCTGACTGGAAGCCATCTGTCTTTTATTGATGTAACAGTGGTGTTGACGTGCTGTCGCTCAGCTGCTGCTCCTTCATTTGGGGCATTTGCATCATTTGGGGCTCCTTGCTTTTCTTCTTCTTCCTTCTTTTTTCTTCTTCTTCTTCTTCTTGGATCCAGGTAAGTCTTCACTTTCTGAGTTTAATTTGCTCAGATGATTATTCAATCGTCTGAGCACTTCTTTAAGATCTTTTAGCATATTCATGTCTGCAAATGTCAGTACGTCATCAGGCACTGAAGTTATCCCTGCTGATGTTATGAAGCTAACTGCATCTTTGACTAGGACCAAGTTTCCAAATATGCCGTATGTGAAGGCTCTCGTTTTAGTGGAGTGTTTTTCATGCACAAAGGGAACTATTGTTCTGCAAAACTTCACGATAAATTCGGGCTCCCAGCCGTGTTTGCCTTCTGTTTTCTGTGTTATCACATAGAGTGTTCTCAAAATATCATGACATTCATCAGGGCTGTTTTCTGAGCCAAGCTTTTCCAGTAGTTGGTGGATCATGGTACATGCTTGCTCATTTGTTATCTCTACAGTCTCAACAGTACACAAAACTACACACAAACAAAAAATTGCTTGATGTGCACAACCCTGCACGGAAATGTTTGGAAGGCGCTTGACTACACCTGCAATGTAGGTGTCCACACTTCCAGTGTCCTTCAGCCATTTGATACATTGCTGGCGGTACTTTTCCGCATCTGGTCCACTTACATTAAAAAGTATCTCAATCATGGTCAGATGGGTTTGAGGATGCTCCAGCAGCATGTGACTGTCAAAGGTTTTGAACACTTCTTCAGGTGGATTCTTTTGTAAAGCACGTTCCATATCCACAAAATGACCAATTTCTTTGACTAAATGATGTCCTTTTGATGCAAGGCCGTGAATCATCTGTGATAGTTGTTTATTGTGAGTGCTACTTTCAGGATAATTGATTGGGAACAATGTTACCAGTGCACCAGCATCAATGAGCTCTTTTAAGACATCTTCCCTGTCTTTGATGGCTGCAGTATGCAGTGGTGTGAGGGGTTGTTGTAGATAGCATACATTTAAATGAGCTTTTGCTTCAAGCAATTTTTTCACAAAACGAAGTGGTGCTTTTGATAGTGAGACATAATGCAAAGGTGTAAAGCCATTTTGGGAAGGAACATCTGGGTTTGCACCCCTCTGCAAAAGGTAAGTACAAATGTTCCTCTTGTGGTTAATAACAGCAGCAATCAGTGGTGTTATATCGTCATTCCACTTTTTGCATGGATACACTTGATCAATGCTGTTGTCCTGAAGTAATTTTTGCAGCTCCTCAAGATCATTGTCAATTATACACTGTATTATAGGATGTGTTTCTGTAGGGGGGGGCTGCAATTGCTGCTGCAGGCTGAAGACACTCATTTCTTTGCATCAGAGTAACTGTGAATAAAATGAAAAGGAAAAAAATTATAGAAGTAGTGTCAAACATTTGGTACCATTCTAAAGTTTATAACAACAGCCAAAGCTATGATCTAGATTAAGATGAAAGTTTACATGTTATTTCACAAGTATATAGTTTTTAAAGTGCACAGTGAAGCTCTAAAGAAATAATGCTTGCTACTTTTTCATTTATGTGGACAATTTTAATCTGATGGCAGCTCATTCAGAATCCAGAAGGCTAGAAGAGTACAACTCAACAGAAAATGAGCAGTACCACATACAGCCTGTAGGTGGAATAAGTTCATTCTGCTACTTGAAAACTCCTTTATCTACTGTACTGGTTGAGAAAGGTTGCATGGGTTGATGGTAATTAAATTAAAGGGAGTGACACCTTCACCTTGTAGCCTACTTCCTCATTCAAGGTAGAAAACGAACTGAACTTTGAAGGCACAAAGATGGAGACATTTTGGGTTGTAACCTATAAGTAACCATTCACATAGTTTATGGAGTATAATTTTCATTAAACGACCATTATGACAATATCAAATAAATATCAAATGGATAGTAGACAAAGGTAGGCTATGTCTAAAGTAAGAAATCAACTTCTCGTATTGAGCAAAACAACTATATTAGTCTATAAGTTTATGATATCTTGTATTATGAATAAACGTGTTAAATGATAACAGAGGAAAATAGACTTACAAAGTCGAAGAGAAGCAGCACATCCGAAGTTGTACGATTTCCTTCCCACTGACATAGACTATGCTGCGCTATTTCCTCTTCTTTTTCTATTACTCTTGCTCCTCCTCTTTAGAGCTACACCCCTGGCAATATTCGAGTTGTCAGGTAGTCTTTCATTATCAGTTAAAAGTCATCTTGGCAACTGCCCATGAACTAATTGCGAGCGGAGTGGATATAATGTGTGAAGACTATTGAGCACTTTTACTCGTGTTTAAGATCTTTGCCCTCAGTTTTGGCTCTCAGGCGACTTTCAGACTTCATTGCTGAAAATGAAAACGAAACTTAAGAGTTAGCTCGTAAAAAAACTCCATACCATCCCGACAGTACAATCATTTATTTCTATGCATTTGAAGTGATGTCAGTCAGCAGCTCTTTCTCCTCTCGTTTAGTGTGCAGCGGGCAGGTAACCATGGTGACTGTCAATCAACGCTGTCCCGGCCCCTCTATGAATAAAACTCTTCTCTCAGTTAAACTTACTTTAATCATGTGTCTGTGAGATAATCACATTCTGGATTATGTTTTATTATATAACAATGTAACAAAACTATATTGCCCACTACTTCTTCTTATAACTGCACTGTTATTGTTATACTGTCATATCATATTGTTGTTTACATAACTTGAAACTTTGATCACACACAATTCTCTTTAAATTATCACTGGACACTTTAATTTGCCATTCACTGCACATAACTCTTAATAGTCCTGTATAGTTCACCCCACTATTTATATTTTATCTATATACCTCCTATTATTATTTTTATTTGTACTTATCCTACCTATTCTGTGAATATTGTGATATTCTCTGTCTTGCTGCTGCAACGCCTGAATTTCCCCACTGGGGATCAATAAAGTATAATCTAATCTATGTTGCACTTTGCCTCAGGCTGTGACATTACACAACTGACTGTTGAGCAGCTGTCTAGAGGGGTAGGAGTGCCACATTTAAACCTGAAACCTACAAAGTCTTAGCTCTGAATTTAGATCAACATTAAGAACTTACTTAACATGAGTCCCATAGGATAGAGAAAAAAATGAGAAAACAATGCAACAGAAACAGTTCACCTCTATAGCTTCAGTGATATTTGCAAATTGGATTATTTCATGTAGACAAATTTACAGAGCTATCTTTAACCAACCAACATCACTATCTCCCATATCCAACTTACAAAGCAAATCCTAAAGAGGTTAGAGGTGGCAAAACTGTGATGCTGCAAAAGGCAAAAAAAACAACAACAACGAACAGGAAACATACTCACTCTACACTCAAGATACAGGAAAAGGCTAAAACATGTACTGTCTATTTTAAGTCTGCACGATAGCTTTAGTTCAACGATTTGCTGCAGCAACTGTGTAATCTACTGTAAAAGTACAAGCATGAGTTTTCTCAGGAGAAGGCAGGTGGACAAGTGAGTGGCATATCCTTTATGTTCCATCAACTCTCTTTGCTTCCTAAAATAAAAATCCCCTCATGGCGGACTCCTCGATCCTGTCCAGAGTCATCGTCTCTTCAAAAGGCATACAAATGTAACAAAAATGGCTTCAACTACCATGCTGAGCTCAAGGCTTGAGACCGTCAACAAACCAATGGGTGCAATCATGCGAGCAATTTCCTTTTTTAAAACATTTTATGACTGTGACTGATGTCGCCAGTGTCATAATAAATAATCAATAAATGATAAAACACTTGCTGTCGTACTTTTAAACATTTATTTTGAAATTCAAATGACTAAATTTACAGTGTATCTTGAGAGTAACATTCAATATGCATTAAACAAATTCTTACAAAAGAATCGGCATGTGGTAAAGCTTGCATACTGTATTCCTTTTTTTTGTTGCAATACCATTCAATCAAAGAGTAAAGATGCACTTTAAGACTTCTCAGTCTGATAGGTTCATCAAAAAAATGAATTTGGCAAACACCTTTTTTTTTTTTGTATTTCATGCTCTTGCAGGCTGCAGTAACGTTTGAATTATTTGAAAGTAAGTGCAAAGATCCGTCCAGACCCTTTTTTTTGTGACAAACAGGTAGTGGCATTGCAGTCCTTGTTTTATGTACATGTCAGAGCTTGCTAGTTAACATTCAGTATTTTCAAAGAACAGAAAGAGAGACCAAAAAGGACTCTCAACTCAAGTTGACATATATATTTACATAAAATAAACCTCTTGTTCTCTTTATCTTCAGACAAATTATCTCACCTTATCAAATGTTATAAATCAGAGTCCACAGATTTCTGCAGTAAGATTTTTTTTTAAAGTTCCAGCCCAAAAAGAAAGATTAATTATGACCCAATAATTGTGGTAATTGTTTAAACATGGTGTTAGTATATTTTATTTCCCTGAACACTGAATGGATAAAAGAACTTGTGTCTGCTTTTCCACTTCTAGCACTCTGAACTACATGAAAATGGGAAGCTATCATTTATGTTTATCTGAAATAGCATTAGTCTTAAATTTGAACAACAAACTCGTTCTTTTTTAATTTACTGTACGCAATATAATCTATAGCACCTACAGTAACATTTTCATGTGATACCTACACTCTAAGGGCTGGGGTCTCACTTGAATATATTTAAAGGTTTGTGCTTTCATGACATTCCCTGTTTCAAAAAAGCAAAGGGGTGTGATACTCTATCACGGCCAGAGAGAGGCACTGTGGGCCCATCAGAACACAGATCCCCAGTGCTGATAAGGCAACATACTGAACATTACCACAGGGTATGAGGACATGAGGTAAGGGGCAACCATACCTGGAACACCTTCAAGAGGCAAAATGATCGCTCTCAAGGTCCTGGTGTACATTTTTAGGGGTTTTAAACCATTAACACAATGAAATCTGTACATCCAAAAACACCAAACTGGATTTCGAATCTTTCCATTCCTCAGAAGAATACCTAAAAGGTACTAAGGAAGCTATTCCAAGCACTACTGAACCAGCTCTTATTCGCAACAAAACACTAACTAGGAATCAAAAAGATAAGAGTTCATTAAGTCTGGTCCTTTCTTTACTTTTGAAAATATATCTTGTAGTGGAAGACGTCTGATTGCAGAAAGGAATGTAAGGCAGAGCCCCTCACAAGCTCAAGTCTATGATGACGTGCTCAAAGATCTGTGTGTTTCCCTTGAAGCTTGAGGTGAAGATGAAGTCCCTGCGGTCAGTGGAAACCACAGTGAAGGAGCGCGGTGCCTGGATGTAAACCTCCTTGAAGCGGTCAAAGAGTTTCTCGTCGTCGTCCCACAGGTAGATCTGTGAAAATGTGTAATCGCTTCCCAGGGCAAGGTAGTAGCGCTCTTTGAAAGAGAACGGCTGAAGAATCATGGACCCCCTTGAGGGCAAGGCCTGGATCTCCGCAAACTGTTTGGCGCCCCAACGCAGAACTTTGGAGTCGCCAATATAACGTGTCATGGCCAGGTAAAGTTCCTCCTTGATCCGGAAGTGCTTTACAGCTACAACATCCTCCATGTTGGGGATCTCGCCCTGCAGGACAAACTTCTGGTTGCTCCGGCTCCACTGGTAGATCACGGGAACTTGTGAGCGGCTTGCCAAGACAAGGTGGGCCTTCCCATCCAAGTCCAAGAATTCTGCATCGGTGTCACGGTACCATTCATGCAGCGACTGATATGAATAAAAGCCCTTATCGTTCCACTTGTAAAGGGTGGACAGGCCTGCTTTGGAGCTGTCAGCAATCACAAAGAAGGAGTCAGAACCAATCTGGAATGCCTCGATGTCATTGGGCTTGGAGATCTTGGACACCTCTATCTCCTGGAACTTGCTGAACCTGCTTTGGTCCTCATCAAACTTGTAGATGTGGGAACCACCAAAGAGCTGCGCCACAATGACAAAAACCTGGTCCAGGATGACAACTGACTTGCACCCTACAATGGACTGACCTGGAAAACAAGACAGCACTTTATTGATCGCCAGAGGGGGAAATTCAGGAAGGAAGACAAAGGAAATAAACAGGTTACCACATAGGTGCTGCACGCAACCAGGGACATTGCCATACCTGTAATGTTATCATAAGTCCTGAAGTTCATTTCTATGTGGTCCCATTGGTAAACCATACAGCTGTCTGTGCTGGGAGCAGCAATAGTCACGTAGACGTCGTTCTTATAGCTGAATGTGTCAACAGACAGGGACTCCGAAGCGACCGACTGGTGGAGTACAAAATCTGCAAAGAAAAAGAATGAAATCCAAATTAAAAGAGTAAACTTAAGGTCCTTCCACACATGACCTCCTGATATAGTATGTAGACAATGTCAGGCCATTCTGCTACAGAAATTTCCCAGAATTGCCTTCCACAGGTGTACCTCACTTGGGGAGATTGTCAGTGTCATGAGCAGTCTCACTACTAGACATTTACCTACTGCATTAACACATGAGCTTACCCTGACTAAATGTAAAGATTGTGTTTAGCCGTTTCTGTTCACCAGTGCACACATTCTGGTCAATAGGGCAACATTTGCAGGAGTGCAGTCCAAATGCAAAGGGGGCTTGAGAGAACTACATTCAGCTTTTTTAACAGTTCCTGTTTTAAGAGGACCTTGTTAGCCTGATACTCGACAAGGCCAACTGGCTCAAGTGTTTCTCACCGGTTGAGGTGCACTCATTGTGCAGACTGGTCATATCATTGAGACGCTTGTCCTTCATGTCCTCCGGTCCGGCACATATGACATCCAACACTGTGGCATTGGTGTTCTTCAGCCACGTCATAAGCCACTTGGCACGGCAGTCGCACTCAAAGGCATTGCCTCGAAGGTCCCTGGACAAGAGGAATACTTTTTGTCACTCAAGAAAATTTACATGGGAAGGCTAGCAGACCCCTCAGAAGAAAATAAATGTAATAGATGAAGATAATCCTCAGCATAATGTATGAAAGAAAATCTAGACACAGATGACGAGGGAGGAAACAGGATCGTACACGGTTAGATTAGTGAGACAAACCTACAGCTCTATCAGTGAATCCAAATCACTGAAGATGTCCCTGGGCAACGCTTTAATGTTGTTGTTTGCCAAAGACCTAAAAAATGACAACAATCAATCAATACAGAAAAAAAGAGCCTATGTTACAATATCAAGAAAACAAATTCAGTTGGACTGTCAAATATATAATAATAATAAGCCAATCAACATCCGGACATCCCAAATAAAACTTACTGGAATGCTACATTTTCAACATTGTTATCCTTAACCCTAAGAAACGTTAACTATTTAGCATCTCCCACAATTGCTCTTAAATATCTTATATTAATCTTATATCTTGAATATAAGACAGAAGTGTTACATAATAGATGTTTTAGTGGATTTGATTAGGATGGATTTTCAAGGTAGGAACATACAAATGAGTCAAGTCCCTGAGTCCTCTGAAGGCATATCTGGACGTCGCCTCTAATTTATTACTCTCAATGAACCTGTGGAAGACAAAATAAACATGATCAATTAATTACCTTGTGACAGGACAGTTCCCTTAGCTAATTAGAAATAGCAGAAAAATGAATCGGTTTAGCATTTCTCCCCTTGCATGCTTCATCAGTGATGTCGTAGTTGACCATTGATGCCTCTTAAAACACAGTAATAGATGAAAGACATATTCCTACAATGAGCTCAATCAGAACCTGTTTGTGCCAAAAAGGAGAGGAATGGTCAAGTCACCAGATCCATTAGGTGCCATCTTTATCTTGTAATAAATCAGTCACTGTTTGATAAATACACCGAATACACTTATAGACCTAGTTCATATAGTTTTTGAAAAACTATATAAAAACATGTGGTCTTTTATTGTTATTTCTACACTTATATATGTTAATAAGCAGGAATTATGTGTTTCTTTTTCATATTATAAATACAATTAAGGTGCGCCAGTAGCCTTGTGGTTAGTGCGCACGCTCCGTAAATGGAGGCTGGAGTCCTCTAAGCGGACGGCCCAGGTTCAAATCCGACTTGTGGCTCCTTTCCCGCATGTCATTCCCCACTCTCTCCCTCCTGATTTCTGACTCTATCCTCTGTCCTGTCTCTCTTATCAAAGCATACAAATCCAAAGAAAATACTTTAAAAAATAAATAAAAGGGAATGTAGAAATAAAAGACTGTTTCAATTGGGCTTGAAGCTTTAAAGACACAATATCAGACTCATATTTTCTTAAATTCCTGTCATTCCAACAACAATACTGAGAGGGATTTGTAAAGTGTTTGAAAGGTTGTGGACAATCGAGCGAGGATTTCTTTTCTTGTACAACTTGAACCACTAGAGGGAGCGCAATCAATACTTTTCTGCCTCAATCACTTCCTGAAAAACCTAAATTAACCACATAATCTAATGCTTTCCTTGAAGACTAAGTCATGTTTTGAGATGAAGAGTGCAATTGATTTTCAGTTATTCCACTAATCCAATGATTGCATAATGCGTTCAACAACAAAAATGAAGAAACTTACAGATACTCCAGATGTGGAAGGCCTGCGAATGCATCGTCCCTTACTGTTGTTAGAGAATTAGAATTCAGAAGCCTGCAATGAAAAGTGAAATTGACATTTTATAGCTGATGGCTGCCAAAATGATGAACTGTTTTATGTCTGCGTTAAAAAAAATAGACTGAACGTCCCAGATTGTGAATTGCATGTTCAAAACAAGTTGGTTCAGTGAACAAAAATAGAGACGAGTGCTGTCAACACAATTTAAATGTCACCACATATATGCAATCGAGAGTGGGACAGCTCACTATATCACTAGATTTTATGGCCTCTTCAGTGTTTCAACACACTGTGCTTCTGGAAAATGTCAAGAAAAACTTACCAAACAAAGTGTGCTAAAAACGAATATCCTGTCAATACACAGATACACCACAGAAACACACATTGTACTGACATTACTTTTTGATTTTTTGGTTGCAGCAATTTGTCTTGTGGACATTTTCAAGGGACATGGTTACAAAAAAAATGTAATACTTGGTTTAGCAGCTCATGACAACATGCTTCTCGCTGTAAATCATCATTTTTTGATCTAGATATTTGGTGAAGTGCTCTCTGCCACGCCTTTGTGCTGTCATCCCAGCTTCCTTTATGGGAGAAACAAACTACATTGATGTCTTCGGGTAAATTCAGTAAAGCATGATACTGAACTAACAGCTCATGACTAGATTTCTATTATTCATTTTCAAAGTGTCCAGCTCTTGTAAAAGCTTTCCTCCTAGTTGCTATAACATGCACCGATGTACTTGTGCTTTTTGTTTCTGAGAGACTGCTGAATATAAGAAGGAAGTTACTTACTTAACATACCTGTCCTTCAAGAGGATTTAAGCTGTAGTTTCTTAATGCTATTACATTACATGCCAAGGTCATTATTTCTGTCATACGGATTTTTTTTTTTTGTGATCACCTTCAGACTGTCACATCTCTACCACACTAAGACTGTACAGTATGATCCCTTTCTCATGTGCGCAACTTGCAAATAAGATGCATTTTAGTGTCAAAACTCACTGAAATTAAGTACTGGAATCTATTTGTCGCTATAGCTTTGTCCTAATAGTAGCTTTTTCTCCACAGGATAAAGGCAAAGTCGCATTCTACAGAGGAGTAACATGCTGTTGTAGCACTCTTACAGTAGCTGGAGAGACGGCATGTGAGCAAACATTGCTTCTTTGACCTCCGAAAAAGTCCCATTGACGATACTCCTGAAAGGAAGAAGACAAAATTATAAACATGAAGCAACCAAAGCAAATGCAAAAAAAAGTGATCAGTGCGAGCAGGTTGACTGCATTGCTTGGGAACATCAGCACTTATTAAAGACGGTGTGCGTCATAAAACACAGCCATGGACAACTAGATCACCACTTAAGAAGCCTTTAATGCTGCATATTTGTTTTTTTCCACGCGTGCGTTGTCTAGCTTCAACATAATACAGAGAGGCTACTCACAAAGAATTGACGTCGTTGGGGGAAATCCTTGGGACATAGGAGGACCCGACGCAAATGATAGACTCCCTGGAGCAGCTGCATGTTGAAGGACATCGAAAACCCTTCTTCAAATGAGCCGGTTGACATAAGAAGCAGAGCGACAGAGAAAACAATGCCCAAATCTTGAGAGTTGGCAGCATCTTTCTTGCCGGGCTTGCATGTGTGAGGTTTGCTGAGAGCGCCGATAGAGGCAGATGGCAGCGCGCGTTTCCACCCTGCACCATGAAATGCAGCACTGGCTCCCCCTGACATCAGCAAATCAGCTGCAGCTCCCCTCCGTCCACTCTCATTATTTATGAAGCCGCGAGGGGAACTGTTGGTTAAACAACCACGCAGCATACACCGAGAAAATAAAGCATTCAGACTTTTGGTACGCCACACATGACGATCTGCGAACCTGAACGTTTTATTGATAATGCTGCGTCTTAGAGAAACGCATTTGAAAAATGGAGATTTTTTTTTTTTTGGTTGTATTTTAAGTAATGTAGCTTCAATACGCAGCTGCACCGTGTGTTGTCAGTAGGCTATGGCATGTTAAGGTGTAAAAAAAATAAAAAATAAATTATAATTTCGTGCCACTTCTGGATTAATACTTAAATATTTCGGGTTTTTTCAATATTTGTGTTGAGACAAAAGCCGCAGACGTGAAGGCCTCTTTAAGAAGGTGTACGACGTTTGTCAGAAACGTAAGGAGCTAATATGTAGCCTGTTTGCACACAGACACTTTCACATACAGAAAGCTATACTCCCCCCCACCTTCTCCTCCTCCTCCTCCTCCTCCTCTCTCAGAGGCTCTTAGAGACGCAGAACTGCAGCACCATGGACAGCGCCTGTGTGCTCATCTGATACAGCTTTACAACTGAATACTAGAAAAACACTATTAGAGAGTTTGCCATCAAAGTGTACCTCGGCCGTACATTACAGAGACACATTTATAAAACTGCAAAAAGTGGAATTTTAAACTTTCATGAATGAAACAGGTACTTAATTATATTGTATTTTTATAGGTAATAAAAAAAACTTCAAGTGAACTTCGTACGTTGCCTGTTATTGATTCTATTTCTGTTGCTACTTAAGCAGTGACTAATGGAAACAATAAAATAAATACACATTTTAGAAATTCTGCAAAAGCCTGCTTTAATTTTCACATCCTCACACGCCTCACAAACTTTAAAACATCTAAATCAATAACTCCCTTGTTTTGAATCCCATGTAAACCAGAAAATGTCTGATCTACCGCGCAGCGTTTAAAGGTAATCCTTAATCATAGTATGTGCAGTACAAAAGAAAATAACTCCCAAATCACACGGCCTTAATCATTTTTTTCTGTTGAATATTTCTGCAACACCCTAAGAGCAAAAGGAAGAATCGTGTTTCTTAGATGTGCAATCTTAACGTGTGATTCAGGGTCTACATTTATCAAATATTCAACATTTGAGTTTTGACAAAATCATTTTCTGCTTTTTTCATGCATCTTCATTATTTGCACTTTCCAATATGGCTCTCTAGTGTTGTTCTTTTTCTCTGCTTAGACTTCCCTGTAAGATAACTACAGGACCAGATCAGAACTATCCCATTACTCTGGAGCTTACACAGGCCAACAGGTTGGGCCCATCCAAACAGCCCGGTGCAATGTCCCTGCTGGAATCTGTCTGATTATCCATGACCCTGATGGTAAACTTTAGCCCCATGTCTGGGCCATCTTTTCATCTTTGGCCCTGTTTGTACCTCTCTGGCCCTCCATCATCTCTGAACTCTGCCCGGCAGCTGCTGAGAGCTCGGAGCAAAGGGCCATTTGTCATCCAGCAACATCCCTGAGGTACTTCGGCTGATGATTGAGTGCGTTGCGTGCAGAATTGAGAGGAATATTTTTAAAGGCAGTCTATTTTCGTAGGGAGAGATGAACGTAAACAATCATTTGGGGGTTTTTTGGGGGGGGGACAAGACACTTTGAGTGTCTTCTGGTATTTTAAGATTATAGGTTAAAATGTGGCTGTACTCTGGATTGCATGGGCTGTTCTCTGTTTGCACGGATAGCTGGATTGCATAAAAAAAAAAACAGACAGTGACGGCCGAAGATAGTATTTCAGTGCAAGCCCTTTTTCTGATTTGCACACTGCAGCAGATTGTTCAAAAGAGGAGGGTCCTTTAAAGGCTGGCCAGCACAAAACAAGTGTGTCTGACTCTGAAGGAACTCTGCAAACTTCAGCAAAAGACTGCGACAGGAAAGGAGAGAGAAAAGAAACAAAACAACAATCTTTTGACTGTTATGACACATCCAGCACATTAAGAACCAGCTTTGTGCACGATAACCAAATAGAGCGTTCCATATGCAAATCAAATGATGCAGCTGATAACACGCTGATCAAAAGGGGCAGAAGGCTTAATTCAGAACAGTTTCTCTTCTTACTGTGCTGCACTGAACCAGCGTTCACAGTCCACGCAGTGTTTTTCCACAATATTTTTGTATTCTTCAGTTTAGCTTGGGGGCAGCTGAAGTGTGCTGACGCAGCACCTTTATCCGTCCAGCAAGATTTACAAAAAGGCTGCCGGGTGGATTGGATTCAGGGCTGAGAGCTGCTTTACAAACTCCACAAAAAACAAACGTACATGTGCTGACTGTCTAAAATGCATGCACACCTGGGGACAGCTCAGATGAAGCATAGACCAAGACGACAGCTGGCACTTCAAGTTCTGAATCTGAATCCCACACAAGTGATTGAACTCCAGAACATGCAGCAGCATCATCTTCTACTTCACATGCCCAAAACTCTGAACGAGAAGTCAATCTCTAGCATTTGCAGCAGATAAAAAAAAGAGAGAGGAAACAGGAAGAACTTGGACTGAGCATGCAGTTATTGAAATATAGATTAGTCATCAGTGAGTGAGGCTTTAGTTGGAGTCTATTTTTGTGCCTCAGGGTACGCGCTGCCCTGCTTCCTAATGACTGAGGGATATAACAGATGTAAGCAAACCTCTGGAATGTGCAAAGGAGGAGGAGTCCTGTGAAGTTAAAGACTATTCCCCGGTGAAGCTCTGACTGAATCCAGAGTACATGTAATGTGGAAAAAGTAAAACAAAGCACAACACTTGATTACACATCTCTTAAATTGTTAATGTTCCTTGCACTGTGCTTTTCCTTTACCAAACACAGGAGCGATCTATGTTTAGTGTGCTTCATTGATCCCTTCCTCCTTGCCTTGCGTTTCAGAGCCTGAAAGTAAATGTCCGATAGAGTGAGTTCAAATGGGAGTGAATGGCTCGGCGTCATTCCTATCACATTACAACACAGTGCAAAAGACATGGCACAACATCTTACATTACACAGCTATATTCCTCTATAAATCGATGAGTAGGAATGCTAATGTATTCCCCAAACATGAGTCCAGCTGGCTAATTTATAGAATATTTCAGCCCATAATGGCACTACGGAGGCTTTAGTTAAGAAGAAATGACACAAAGAAAGTAAAGGCTGGTGTTGATTGTAGACCCATAATCTATTTGAAGTCAAAATCCCATAACAAAAGGAAGAAATGTTCAACATATACAGACAACAATCAAATCGTCTTTGCAGACACGTTGGCGTTACTTGCAAATCAGTGGTGAACATTCAGATTCTCTTAAGGTCATATTTGTACAAAGCTCGTGTCCTTTAATATTCTTCATACAAGCTCACCTTCAGAAATGATTTGGTCTTCTTTGACTGTCAGATTTTTTATTTTTGCTCAGTTACTCCCTGGCTAGTGTCCTCATGTCCAGATAGAAGAACCTGGGGACTACTTTGTGCAGCGTTTCCCTCTTTCTTCAGGGTCTTCAGGCACTTGTCGAGCCTTTTGATGCACAGCGTCACGTCCTCCCGAGCGATTCCCACAGCCGAGGCGGCGTTGAGGTAAGGACAGGGGTACGCCTCAGAGTGCGACATGAAGCCGCGGAACGTGTGGCCGCTTATGGTCTGCTCCTTGTCCAGCGGTATAACCCTGGAAACATGGGCGTAATACACAGGAGAGCATTTACTCCAAAAGTAGTGGACATTTTTGCTCTTGAGCTGTTCAGGATTGATCTTTCTTCAGCTACCCAAACATGCTGCATGTGCACTTCACTGTTAATACTTTGATTTGTGCTTTTTAAAAATGAACTTCTAAAAATCTAACATTGATTTACAGATTGAATCTATAATAAGTAATAACGTAAGTGTGTTGCTTGTGCTCAAACATCTCGGTTGGTTGGTTGTTGTCTATTTGAAGTCTGACGTTTGAAATCTGTTACAAACTCATCATACAGCCAAACCTTCCATGTTTCTAGAGATGCAGATTGAAAAGAAGAAAGAAACTGCTCAAATGTAAAAACATGCATGTGATATTTCATCTCTGTCAGGACAGTTTAGACTCACTTCATTGTGAAATCAATTACTGGCTACTACGAGAAAGCATTATGATAAGAGGAATGCATTTTAATTCAATGAAGATCTCAGTTAATCGGCTCTGCTTGATATGACAGTAAGTCTCTGATGATGTGGAAAAATGGCCGCTCGGGTTAGCAATGCAAACACTATATTAAACATGTGCTGTTATTAAGATGAATGTGTCGCTGAAGCTTTCATCTTAGAAGTAAACAGAGCTTAAGGGAGGGGTATAAATGATCAGAGTGAAGTTTGAATGTTGAACATTGAAACATGTTCACTTGCTGAAAACCAAAAAGAGAAATAAAGTGGGAGTGGAGTGGACGCAATCTCTGCTTCTTTTCAATGCGACTGAGCCATTAGTGCATTCAAATCTGAACAAAACAGGTGCAAAAGAATGACCCGAATAAATCATTCATTTGGGATATTTTAATATTTAAACAGGTGTTTGGACAAAAACCATTAAAAGGAAAAAGAGTCAAACAAAAGCACAGCAGGACTTCGAATTCTGTGTTTTTGCAGCTACTGCACACTGGGCAAGTTCTAAAAATAATGAACTTGGATCTATTGTCTCAGTGTTCTTTTCAAGTAAATAAGGAGTTATGATGTCTAACAAATTCTCAACATTTTTCACAGGGTCCCAATTTGTTTGGAAACAGGGTTGTTAGAAGGAGAGGGGGGGGGGGACAATGAAGATTAAGCTTGACCAAGTGAAGTGAGCCCCTGGAGGTCAAAGCTGTGCGGTCCAAGCAGACACAGCATGGGGTTCCTAATGGAAACATCCAGATAAATTAGGAGACGCCCCTAAAAGGATGGCCGGTCTAATCAACTTAAGTAGTTCCCGCTCCGCCATATTCAGCAGATCCATCTGGCTGATTGCTTCCGCCCCTCCTTTCTTTCCTCTGGCTGGTTTGTTTGCCAACACACAGCTCATCCTTTCACTTCTCAAGGACAAAAACAAACCCATTGTTTTTTTTGTTTTTTTTTTACACTTCCTAACATGGTGACTCACATACACCTCCACATGCTTCTGTTTTTTTTCTTTTCTTCAAATGTTCATACCTTGCTCCTGACACTTGCCGGGTGAACAGCATGGAGCCCAGCTGAGTCACTGCCTTGTCGCTCTCGGCCTGGAGTCCATCCAGAGACATGGCTGGAGGAGAGAGAGGCCGAAACCCAGGACACAAACAAACAAAATTCGCTTTTTATTTAAAAAAAAAAAAAACCAATGTAAAATGTGCTGTTATCACTTCAGAATTGTTCTTTAAACTCCTCAAAACACACACAAATCCACAGTCTTCGGACCTGTGCTTTGAGCTTACCCAGTGAAATGGGGTTATGTGGGGTGTGAAGCAATCTCTCCCCATGTGCTGAGGCCAGACTCTTCAGCTCCTGAGCCAGCAACAAATAAATCTCCTGCAGGGCATTCAGACACAGAGAGGAGGCATGAAGAGACAGCACTAGAGGCAGCGGGGGCCATACGATAGAGCTATAAATAGAAACACAATTCTCCTTTCAGACTCTGCCACGGTCTTATTTTAGCAGCAGAAGCAGCAGCCTTATTTTTTTTTATTTTTTTTATTGCTTATCAAGCAAATCTCTCTGCAAGCAGACCGCTCCCATCCCCCTTCTCCACTCCGATTGTGTTTCCCCCCGTGCTTAAGCATAAGAAAAGTGTCCACTTCCCATCTATCTCCGGCAAGGATCTTAACTCATCCACCTCAGGGATCAATTAGAGAAGCAGGAGAGGAGGAAGACATGCTTTCGTCTTGAGATTTAATCATCCACGTGTTTAAAAAAAATGCTGACTAAGTGTGTTTAGTGCAGAGTCTTAAAGCAGTCAGTACATCAAAGCACGGCGTGGACGCAAATGTTATGAGCCAAGACCAGGTGGGAAAGGAGAAAAAAAACTACAAATCCCATTGTTTTTTTTTTTTTTGTTGCTGTTTACTCCCAAGAGAAGCACTGCACACTACAGGAGCTTTTCTCTGCAACAGTCGGAGAGTGTCTGCTGACTCATACTTTCCAAATTTGAAAAACATCATGAAAGGAAAATTTGTTTTTGTTTTTCTGTCATGAGTCAGACACAAACAGCCTCACAATAATGTCTCCAAGTGGCCCTTGTTCTCTAACAACAATGGGTGACTTCTCCATCCTTGGAGAGGACAGGCGCAAGTGGTGGAAGGGGTGCACGGCTACGACTCTGCAGACAATAAGAGTGTGTGCAAGAAAAAAAAAAAACACACACATAATCTGCCGGTTCTCTCTCTCTCTCTCAATATATGCCTGTAAACCAATCCTCACGGATGAAATTTCTGAATTATTTAAAGCTTTGGACCCCAGGGGCATCCGTGGAAATCACTCAGTTCTGCAGACAATATGGAAAATGGGTCTTTTGCATGAATTATGCATAGTTTGGACATGAAGAAATCAATAAGCAGCGATGGTGTTTGGACAAGTGAGAAGCTAGAAGAATAAACTAGATGTATGTTTCTGCTTTAGAGTTAGTTTTACGCTAATTTGTGGCATTGTATTCTATTGCCCAGTTGAGTTAGGGATCATTCTTGATGAAGTAATGTATTCTAAATGGATTTTAGAAGTAGGGAACACCCAAAAAGAACATTTTATTCATCTCCTTTCTAAAAAAAAACAAAAAACTTAAAGGAAGATTCATTTATTTCTGCATCTTTTCCAAGTTCTGAGCATCACCAGAAACAGATTTCTACCTGCACATTTACAGTACATTTATGCCACAGCAGCTCTGAGGTGTGAGAATGCTGCAGTGCCTACCATTTGAAAAGGGGAACTGCTGCATTGTGAGCTCGGCTTTAAAAGCAGAGAGCCGCCTCGGGAGGCTTTCTGAAAAACTTCAGGATCAATCGTATCTCGCTATAGCATAATCCTCCCTCCACATCGCTCGTTTCTCAGTCAGACAGCAGGTATACAAAGAGGTGTACACACACACACATACACACGGTCATGGCATGTGACGCACTGCAATTCAATAGGACTTATGTAAGCTGTTTTTTTGGTTTTTTTTGGGCTTCAGGGGAAATATGTTGACACAGCATGCATAGAAAACAAACTCAGGCTGATACTGCTGCAGTGTTTTTATATGCAAGTTATGCTTTACATATAAAGCTTTATGATGATGTAATGTGTGCTCTCACCTTTCTTACTGACAGGAGTTTTTTGTAGCCGTTGGCTCCCAGACTGAGAAGGGTAATGAGGACGTCGAGGGAAGGTGAGGCGGATGCTCGACCTGGACAAAGAGGGGCCAAGAGGTGACTTTGCTGGGCAGATATAGAAACAAGACAGAGTCTGCTGTGTGTTAAGCCTATTGATGCTATTTAAAAAAAGAAAAATGAAAGTGAAAGCATAAAGCAGCTAAATATAACAGGAGGCTGATGGAATAAGGAGGAGGAAGAGATGTCACAGCCCTCAGACTTTCCTGGGAATGAGATTTGGTGGTTTTATATGATGAACAGGAGTGGGTTAAGATTGTTGGCAACTTCCATGCAATGTCAAGGGGACCTGAGGGTGAGGATTATTCAATTTAAAACTCTGCACTGATTTTATTAGACCCTCAGTAGACTTTCCAGACTTGGCTTAAAATACTCAGGTACTAGCTGGAAGTGTGGATAAAGGTGCAGTACACTGGATCATGAGCTATGGTCATGCTCCTTGATTAATCAATTATTTATCTTAATGATACATTTTATTGTTTGTCTGTTTTCATTTTAAGACACTCTAGAAGTGCTGAGCCCTGACTTGGTTGTGGTTTGTGTGAGGGTTAGGATTTATGGTGTGTTATTGTAACAGATTGCATTATGTATACCATGTGATATGACTCACGTGTTTATTATGAAATACAAACTGAAAATCATGACATTGGTGGAATTATTCTTCACATATTTTCCCTGTTTTGGACTTCATGTTTAACTCGTAGAATTATTTCAGGTTAATTTGTGTTAAAACAAAATGAAATGTTGATGCATATTCAGAGAGTTGGCTTTTTCTTTCTAAGTACAAGAAATGTTAAATTTGTTTATCTTTATGTCCAAGCTCCTTTGAAATGTGTGGCCGTCATCAAATTAGAAATGGGCAGAAATTTAGTACTCAGAAAGTTAGAAATTCCATATGTTATCTTTCTGCTTTTTTTTTTTTTTTTAAAGGTTTACTTTTGGGCTTTTTCAGCCTTTATTTTAGAGATAGGAGGATGGATAGAGTCAGAAATCAGGGATGGAGGGGGTGAGGAATGACATGTGGGAAAGGAGCCACAGGTCAGATTTAAACCTAGGGTTCATATTCGGTTTTTGTTTACACACCGTGTCGCTACTTGTTTAGAAACGGGGTTTGTAATCTGTCTCCTCAAAGAGTATTTTAATAAGTCTGTAGAGTGACCACGGGTAGATTTCAATCAATATCATTGAGCGCTGAAGTACTGCAAAAACAAAACAACTGTCTTCATTTAAAAAAAAAAAAAAAAAAAAAAAAAAACTGGCAATGAATTCAAGGAGAAAAGAATAACAAACACACTTTAAAAAAAGAAGCCAGTATTGTTTTTTTTTTTTCAACACTTCATTGTCGTCAACATGTCTGATTATTTATGACATCACTGGGTTCCCAACATTCTTATAACTTCAAACTGTGATGTGCAACTCATCTAGAGAAAATAAATACATGAAGTAGCTCAGATAAAGTGTTGGTATTACTCACCTGGGTACATCTTGCTTATCTCCTCTATGAAGGACTCATCAAAACCTGCTATTATAGCGCCACCTACTGGAACCATGAAGTTCTTGTCCAAGCTCTGAACAAAGGCATCGATTCTCCCCACACGAGCTCCCTGATGACACAAAGACAAATATAAGGACACTATCTTTCATATGCAAAGTGTTAAAAAAAAAAGTGAAGATGCTTTTATAGCATACATTTTATTTTTCAGACCTGACACGTGCCGTCACACGTGTACAAGTGAGGGCAAGCATCAGAAAAATACACAGGACTCATGTTTAAAGGAAGAGTGGAGCCTACCTGTTGTATGAGGTGCATGCATTTGGATGACTGCACTCCGTACGCATTGTTTACTATATGTGGAATGTCATATTTGGCACACATAGAGGCCAGCTCCTCGAGCCTGCACGACAAGATAATGATTAACCACACACTTCACATTACTCAACACATGCATTTCTAAATCCTCTGCTTGGATCATAAGAGGGTGACAGAGGGATTGTTTGTTTCTTGCCTGTCGGGGACCCGAGGGGCAAAGCAGGATGTTGTCGAGTGAACACATAGGATGTTCTCGGCACCGAGCTCCGTGATTTGTCGCTCAACCGCTTCCAAGTCCGTCCGCAACTCATCGCCCTCAAGAAGGTTCTCCACCACCACGGGCTCAAAGCCTGAGACAGAGTCAGATCGGAAAATCAAAAAGACAATGCAAGGTGATGAGTCCAACAACGACCATTCAGGAAGAACGTTTCTGTGTGATTTGGTGTTTTTGGTAAAAAAAAAAACCTGTGAGAAGGTGAAAGTGAGTGGACGTCAGATTTGGGTGTCATCATCACCTGCTGTGATCATGGCTTTGAAACAGGACTTCTGGTCGATGCGAGGCCAGATGATGTAGCGAGCCTTGGGTCTGCGGTGACGGAGGGTCAGAAAGCACAGAGTCAAGCTCATCCCTGTCGCCATGGGAACCACGAAGCAGCTCGCCACGCTGCGGACGCCTGTCGTATGAAAGAAACAGAGAAGGTTTGTATTTCATCAATTCACAGCAACAACAAAAAAAACAAAAAAAAAAACCTAAATTAAAAAGGGACACTCCGCTGATTTTAACATGTGAAGTTTGGGATCGTGATTTTTGGAGCTTCGTCCATTTCTAGGTACTGAAGAGTCGGGATACAAGTCAATACGCTCATAATTGAAATGCGCAGAACATCTTGGTTAAGCGGTGCCACATGTTTAACCCTGCAGCGATCGAATACGTTGTAAGGGTATCACATACACACCTGAGAGCTTTAAGATGTCCAACACCACTGAGTTGGTGAGCTTGTTAAGCAGACTGGATCCTGCAGCTTTGGGCTGAATAGCAGCAATGTCACCCGATCGACCGATGCCATGGATCAACCTACGCAAAACAGCTGAATGTCACAACAGGGGCCATTAAACCACCTCACTGTTATCAGCTCTGTTCATTATGTTCACTCAAAACCTAGTAAGACGACTCTGAGTTAAGATATTCTGATCAAATACATAATTTCTTATCGAGTCCAGTATCGATAAATTGCACTCCAAATTATAAAACCTGTCAATAAAAGCACGAATCAACGACCATGATCCTTCAATGGGACGCAACATTGTGCAGCGTAACTCGATCTTGAGACGATAAAGATATAGTCAAACCTGTAATGCCGTCTCGCCACGAGGCTGGATGCCACTCTGCCTTCCCGCTCTCCGACACCACAGTTTCCGAGGAAGTTATTGCTGTCCATCACAGCCAGCTCACTCAGAAAGAGCTCTACGGTGCTCTCGCTCCATCCCTCCTCTGGACACTTTCCCTGCGACACACACGATATAAGAAGAAACGTATGAATCTGCAGCGAGCACACAAATGAAAGCAGTTCCCCCCCCACTCCCCTCTCAACATTACCTGCTCCAGGAGGTGTCTGATGAGCTGCTCGTGGCTTCGGCGCGCCTGGCTCCCCTGTCGGATGTAGGAGGATGACACGAGCTTCTCGCTCAGGCCGAAATTTTCACTGTTCATCTCTGTCAAACAAACAGCTTCATTACGTTGACAATCAGCTCACACGTCAGAGACTGTAACTGTGGAAAACAAGCTGGATTAAAAATAAAAATAAAAAAAATGCCAAGAAAGAAAGAAAAATCTGAGAGCATTTTTAAATCAAATCTTGAAATCTGTCTTAAAAACTGAATTAAGAAATCAGATCACAACAGGTTATTCAGTTTGTGTTGTTCAAACCTTGCGAGTAGGATTTAGCTATCTTTGATTTTGTCCTGACATAACAGGAACAAACTTTTATAAAACTTTTCAGTAGGTTAAACAACAAAACATTTTTTTACATTGATTTTTGCAAGTCGCTTTCCCACGACTTACAGCTTTTAGTGAAGGACACTGAAGAGTAGTTTGATTTCAGTGAAGCCTGGATGAATACAGACATGCATCTTTACATATTTCACACTCTCACCTTGACAACAAGGTTTCTGTTTGGTGTCCTACTTACATCTATTTTAAATTCAGTTTAGCAGCAAAGCCTATAAGAGAGCAAACTAGTGACGACACCTTATCAAACACTTTGCCCCTCAAGTCATTTTCCTTTGCAGCATGAGTGCCAGCAGCTCTGCTAAAGCTAAGCTAATGTTTACACCAGGTGAACAGGACCTCACAGCTTCAACTCGGCTGCTTTCAGAGGTGACAGTTGTTATAGCTTCTTACCTAACGCTTTCCTCAGGGAGTCAAACCTGCTTTTGAATCGTCAGGCCGTTTCCAACCTGTCAACAGGCGTGAAAACAGTCAGGAAGAGAAGGCAGCGTGGAAGCTGATTCACTCGACAAAAACGTCACGAGGTCACATGACCCACGAGAACGATCACGTGACCGCGTTGCGTTTTCAAATATCGGTCACTTCACAGTGCCGACTTTTTTTATTTTATTTAAAGACTGAATTATTTACAATTTTACTACATTAAATAAGACGACCTTCTATCATATTTTTACAATAAGAAAATACATCTTTAATAGTACATGAATTTATATTTTTTATAGGGAATTTTCACCAGAAGCAAATGACTAAACAAATACGTAAAATAAATATCTAATTTATAAAGCATTATTTTGGAGGAAGCCCTGAATGTAACTGTACACACTAGCTCATAGGCTTCTTAAAAAAAATATATATATTTTTTTTTTATCAATTTGATAATGCAAATAATAAACACACATAGACTAAACATTTGAACTCAAAATAATGAATCATTTATTTTTTATAACATTTATTTAAATTATCTGCAACATTATTTAACCATAGCGAGTGGTGTAGTATAGTATAATCCAGCTTTATATGTGGAAATAGGCCTATAAAAATTCTAAATTTGGTCAAAGTATAGCAAAACAACCAAATCAATGTTGCGAACTGTGGAAAAGTAAAAGTCCAACACTAAAAATTAACTCATATATAAGTACACAAGTATCACCACAAATTAGTTACAAAAGCATAAAAAGAGAAAATGATGCACGACGATTGTTTTTTAAAGTGAGATTTTGTTTTTTAAATTGACAAGCCTGTCATATATCTGGATTGATCATTTACGTAGGTGCAAATTACGTGCAAATTTTGAAGAAAAAAAAAGTAAATTGTTCAATATGGAGAAAATTTTATGATTGAACATGCAGGTACATTTATTTATTGCTTTATATTTGCTACATGTATCAAATGTCTCAAGCTACATTCATAAATAATAATAAGAATAATAAGAAAAAATAATTAACTGTGAAAAGTGTAAAGGTGAAAAGAAGGCCACAAACTTTTATTTATTTATTTTTTATTCTTACTGGAACAAATGGAATGACATCTCAGTCTCCATAAATTGTCATGTTGCCTTATTATATATAATTATATTATACTTATAGAAACACATCGTACAATTTTATTACTCATTACACATGAAAGCATTTGGCCAGGCAATTTAGCTGAAATTGATATAATATTTGGGACAAAAAATAAAATAAAATAAATATATAAGTATATCAAAAGGTATTTTACATTTTTTTTTATTTAAACAGGTAATTTAACCCATTGACATCAAGATCTCTTTCACAAGGGTGACCTGGCCAAGAGGGCAGCAGCACACGTCATAATAAACATTACATGATAAAGAAACAGTTTACAAACAATAAGTTAAGAGAAAACCTCATTTACAATGTTCAAATTGATTTACAGATAACGTATCAGATGTAAATTTACTGTTTCTGTTTTGCATTGCAAGGGGAAAGCTCTACGTCGATCTTTCAAACAAACAAAACAACTTTACAGCTAACAGGATCACATCATCAGAAATAACTGTACACTGACGTAAACATTGAGACAAACTTGAAAAGACTCACAGAGTAAAACATGCATTTGTTGCGTTTCTTACACTATGACTTTGTAAACTTGTAGCTGGTAGCTGTGAAACAAACCATAGAAAGTGTAGCAAACACATTCCTCTTTCTTTAGAATAAAATGCAGATGCTTCTGACCCTTTAATCCGGCAGAGAGTTCATCACATAATTTATTATATTTTAAAACGACGCTAATTTACGCAAAGTAAAATGAAATATCCAAAATGAGTACAAGACAATACATTTTCCATGGGGGACTTCAGATCGTTCCTGATTTTTCCTGCTGCAAAGGGGAGAGAAAGATGGCAATTTGATGGCATAGCAGGGCATTTAACTCAACAGCTATGCCAACATCTTGCCTTCCTTCCTGGACCCATAGTTCCAGAGAGTTTGGATGTTACAGTCAATTATTACAGGTCCATCCTCACTTTAATTATGGATTTCTTGGATGAAAACAAACATGTACAATATGTTCAAAGATTTAAACAAATTGCTTAATATACGGACATGTTAATACGTAAAGCGACTGAAGACAACCTACGTAACTCCAACGCGTTTGTGCGTAAAGACGCATGGATCACAAAAACGAAATATAGTGGGTTTTTAAATAGCAAATATAAGCCCGGTCTTTCCTGACAGGCTGTGCCCTATTTCTTCATCCTAACGCCTACCTGTTAAGGTGTGTAACCTATGAACTCCCATATCCAGCTCTGCCTCGGCCGTTGTCCCAGACACATGTGTGTTCGTATCAGGCGTCAGCAGAAGAAAAGTAGGCTGAGGGTGGAAGTCTGCTTTCCGCCGCCTACTCCTTGAGCAGTCGGTCAGAGTCAGTGGATGACTATCAACAGTTACGGTGTAGTAGGTGTGTTCAGGGGTTGGGCCCCTGTGGGCGCTGACAAGGAATCCTATTGGCCTAATTAAGAGAGGGACACACATCCAAGCAGAAAAACTTACAGTGAAGAAACCCTCCAGAAACATTCAGAATTTATCAATCCCACTGTTATTCTTCTGTGATATAAGTAAAAGTAATTTAACACACACAGACACATAGATGCTATATAATATTACAACAAGCTATATAAGCTTTACTTTTGAACTTTTGGATACCATATTTTTTTATGTAGGCCTATATAACATGGACACTTGGCTAACAGACATATTGCTTTTGAAATGTCCTTAAGAGTGTGTGTGTGTGTCCCCCCCCCCCATATTTTTCATGTGTAATGAAATACTTTGTGCATAGCAGTCATAATGGGGGAACGTCCAGAAAGCACAAGTGGTCCCAAGACGCTCTGACTTGCTGATCCCCACGAAAATAAAGCCTGACTGAAGGCTCTTGTTCATTAATGAATCACACAGAATGATTCAAAAAACAGTCTAGACCAGAAAGTGGAGGCAATCCAGCGCAGGAAACAATATTTGATGTGAAAACTCTATAAGACCTTTAATTATAAGCCCCTCCATGGGAGCAGTAAGAGTATATTTTTTAGGAGATATAGGCTACAGTAACCACAGAACCTGTGCAGTTCAACCTATTTTTCCCTCTTCTTTTTTACATGATGTCATCTTGTGTCCCAATAATCCACACTATTTCAATACCTCACAGTACATAAAACAACTAACTCCACACCGACCTGCTAAAACAGCTGCTTAAAAAATGATGTACTGACATTTTATCTGCAAAATGCATACATTTTTTTAATAATCTTTTTGCTGTTAACAAAATAGATTTTCTATGAAAGACTTGGATTTGTAATACTCCAGCTCCAAATCACAATTCCATTAACATTAAACTGTGTGGCCTCAATATTGACAACTTTGTTCCTTTCTTTTACATGTGGGGAAAGTTGAATTCCAAGCAACATTTTTGTTCTCTTTATGTCCACTTATTAAAAAAACGTCTGAGTATAGACATTGTGTGCATAAATCAAGGTTAATGAAGGCCTTTTCTTCTTTTCAAACATATTGACAATCCTAACGTTGACTTTAGCACGTTTGGCAGTGATGACTCACTTCCGTAGGTGTCGACACTGACCACACCTGTCAACTCCCAAAGAGCAAATACGTTAAAGCAAAAAGACAATTAGAAGAGCTGACAGGGTTCACGTTTCCATTACGTACAGTAACTCTTGTTTATCTTGGTAACCACAGAGTAAATAGAAATTTCAAGGTGGCAATCACTGTGAATAATTTGTATTTGGCATTTACACAAGCAGGTTAATTCATTTCATGCAGACTCAACGTTTAAGATTTCACAAAATAGAGGTATGGATTGACATGGAAACTTCAGTTCAAAGATACATAGGGCATGAATAACAAAGTCAATACTTGGTGTTAAAGACTAAGAAAGGGAATCTTTCTTGAAAAAGCAGAAAATAACTTTCTTGAAGTTTATTTTTGGGGCTTTTGTTATGACTTTATTGGAGTGACAGGACAGTTTCTAGAGTAAAACATTAGGGACAGAGGGAGTGGGTAATGACATGCAGGAAAGGAGCCACAGGTTAGATTTGAACCTGCTGGGAGGACTAAAGCCTTTGCACAGCACACCCTAACCACTCGTCACCGAGCAGAAAAAAACTTGCAATAAAGACTCACCAAACATAATAGGCATTTTATAAATACACAATTATGATGATGACAGACCTCTCTGTATTCAGGCGCCCGTGACTTTGCTGCAGGGCAAATACTAAGGTGTGCCTGCATGTAATTACATCAATCACGGTGTCACACTAGTTAACATGAACGTACTCATTGTATTTCTATATTTTGCTGATTTAAAATATTCAAAAAAAATGATTACACTCCCCAGCGTTTAAAATTCAGCTTAACTATATTAACTGACATATAGGCCTAGTAGTTAACATATATTAACTATATAAATAAGAATATGGGTTTGATGCTACACTTGTAGATGCCCATTAATGCCCTGAAAACATTTTGCCTAATGCTCACCCATTAGAAAAACTGATTTATTTTTTCCCCCTAAACCCGTGGAATCATTTTTTCAGTTTCAACAAAAATGACAATCAACATGTTCATTTGTATTAGTCTACTGTGTTCAACTTTTTACCGCCTGGGTAAACCTGAGGTGATTCCAAGTAACCTTTATTGAACAGTGACCACTGAACAAAAATGATAAAACCATGTGATAATGATAAAAGCTAAAAACTAAAACATAGCCTAGTAGCACAAGTAAAGATAAATTCTTATATTGGCTAACTGAGTCAGAAACGTTAGTGGGACAGACATATTAGTCTTAAGATTTTCTTACATTAGCTACCATTAGCCAAAAGCAATAAAAAGGTTAGCAAACTGAGTCAGGAATGTCTGCAACACAGATATATCAAAGTCAGCTAACATCAGCATAAAGGAATCAAATAAAAGTTACCAAACTGAGTAATGAATGTTAGTCACATGAAATATCAAATTTTGCTAACATAAGTAGAGTTAGTTATCTGAGTCAGGCTA